TGCATTAGTGGCTACCTGCATGCATAGAGTTGCGCTGCACTGTTGCGGCGACAGATGGAGAGCTGAGACATAGACGTGGCAGCGAAAGTCGGTCGTGAGACGTCACGGTTCAAGGGTGTGTCAGTGTACAGACAATGCATGCCCGTCCATTGCCCTTCTTGTTCTGACTGGCACTGGTTTGCGCCGGCAAGCGCTAAATACAAAGTGACTGACTGAGGAGCCGTCTGAGACTTGTACGCGATGATTGGGGTTTGTAAGTGAAGCGAGAGAGATACTCAGATACTCTGCTTACTCGGTATGCCGACCGACCGACCGAAACACATTCACCCTGTCCTATCCAGTCAGTTGATTGATCGGTTGAATGATTGATTGACTGGTTGATTAATTGATTGGTTCTTGTACGTACAAGCCCCGACTGTCTGTCTCTGTGAATGCTCGGCTGCATCTGCCGATACTGTCTGGCTGTTTGTCTGTATGAATTATGTATTCATGTCTCTATGTGTTGTGTGTAAATCTTATGTCTGTCTTATGTGTGCGTGCGTGTATGTGTGTAAGTGTGAAGGCAAATGGACTGTGTGGACATTACAAACGAGTGTTATCTAGTTCGATGTGTGAAGGACATTGGTTTGCAAGAGAGGAACATGGCAAGGAAGATGTGATTCAACGGGTTGCAACCCACAAGTTTAAATCATCCTTTCTTTGCGGCGTTTAAAATGCGTTCCTTGTTTGTCTGATTTCTTCAAAATTTCTTCTTTAGTTTGTATTTGTTTGCGTTGTTTTAAAAGCTTTTCGGCGATTTGCCGGTTTTTAAATATATTTTGGCACATTTGGGACGTTTTAAAGAATGTGCGATCAGGGGAGGAGGTTTGGATGGGGTGTCATCACTTCTTCGCGGATAATCACACAAGAGATCGTGCTCGCAACGGATGAAATAACCTAAACGGAGCAGAGAATGTAAAAAACGGGTATATGGATGCCGTAATTAGAGCCCGGATTACTTCGATGCACCGGAAGGAGACATCTCGCTCCTCTTAAATTCGGGAACGGATTTCGAAGCTGGGGCAGTGTCAGGCGTGGGAAGGGCCCTCCGTGGTGGATCATCAAGGTGTCGGCTTTCCGTCAAACCTCTACATTCTCTCCTTGTTGGGTCTTTGTTTAGCACGTAGGCCTTTACACAAGTGAGCAGAGCATCTTTTTCCCTCTCTGACAAACCCCAATCATCGCAAGAAGCCGTCTCTCAGAGTGTCTCAGACGACTCTTTAGTATTTTTTAGTTGGTCACACCATGTGGTCTACTGGCAGAACTGAAATCGTGGTTATTGCAGAAGAGACTTGACACTTGACAACGGCACACAAAGAACAGCTCTCAGGCACAGAACACTGTGCACCTTTCGGCTTTCACACGGGCCTGGCCGGGGGTGGCGCTCAACGGAGGGCGAGCTGAAGCACATATGCATGAGTGGCTGCAAAAGAACAGAGCGGGGTGCGAAATCGTGCCTGACGGGATCCACACGTTTGACAACCGACGATGCACACCGTTTGGTGGTTGGGGTGCGTAAACCTTTATTGGGCTGGTTCTCCTTTTGAGGCGAAGAGAGCGACGGCCACATGCGTGAGGACCGAGCCGGGAGAGGTGTATCCAGATTACAGTTTGGGATTATTGACGGCTGTGTAGACTGGCGGCGGAGAGCGATGGCCGCTTGTAGTGTGAACACAGCACAGCGAGATGCATCATGCCTTGACACAATCGTGCTGGTTTAGGTCCACAGCTGTGCCCACGTTCGGTGCCTAGTTCTCTTTCTCAAGACGGCGCAGAGCAATGGCGGCTGGCGTGCAGACACAGCATGACGGGATGTATCTAGATGTATCAGACATACATGCTTTTGCGTCGAATGAATGAGAGTCTCGAGAGAAATCAGCAGAATCCTCAAATTCCGTGTATCCGACACCAGTGGTCGCCACCTTTTACCCGAACGACAGGGCGCAATTGCGACTAGAAGCAGACTCGTCTCTGGCAGCGTCCGTGCGCACGCATATATTTCATCTACCAGATCGACCTTGAAGCGTGTGCAAGGAGATTGCGGTTGAGTTAGCGGTGGCCTACAGACACTCACAGAGGTACTGTGTGAGGCGAGAGCCACCTATCTAGAAGATGGGAAGATTGAGAGCAGCCACGTGTGCACGGACATCACGACTCGTGAGGACTGTACACCCTCACGTGGCCGTGAATATCCGCATGGCCTGCAGTCTCTCTTGTGATTCGAGAAACTGACACAGAGCAGTTCTCATGCAGGGCTGTTCTATCTGACTCAGCAAGCTGGCATGCATGTTTGCCACGTCATGTGCTTCTAATGCCTCGCTCACCTGTACGGTCAAGAGGGGGAGACAGAGAAGCCAACACAGGCAAGCAAACCCACCATCAGTGACCGTATAGGCAAGAAAAAGAGCGAAAAAGGCACACACAAAAGGCGCCGAGAAAAGGTAAGCAATAGAAATGAAGGCGCTATCGACCTTCAGGTAAGTAGCTGATGTCTGTGACAGCAGAGCGACCCAAGAATGGTCAGCTCAAGCTCCAGACACGTCAGCACCATGGTCTTCAGGATGCTTGCGTGGCGCTTCGTCACAAGCCCTGAAGCCAACAAAAGAAACAAACACAATTGACACATGCTTACGTGTGTGTGTGTGTGTATGTGTATCTTCTGCCGCAGCCGAGTCTGGACCTAGAGAAGGACAGACAGGCAGGGAAAGGCAGACAGATGAGGCAGACAGCCAGGAAAGGCACACTTACATGTTCATGATGTGCATGCGAGTGCCGTGCCAAGCCGCGTGGTGATGCGGAGGTGGTAGCAAGAGCACAAGATGCCTCCCATCTCTCCAAGCGTCATCCGCATCGCTTGACGAGCTGCTGTGAGCTGACAAACAGCCGAAAAAGCACCTCGTCTGTTTCTTTCTCGATGATCTCGCTGACCGCCAACACCTCATGCTGAGCGCTCGACAGCAACGACAAGCAAAAGCTGACGAGCGAGAGGGGGAATTAGAGCGGAGACCGAGTTACACGGGCGAGATCTACGAGACATGATTTGTGATGCGCGTGGACTCAAGCTTGCGTGTCCATGAGACCTCCGTCGTCACTGAATGCTTCTTTCGGCTTCGTCACATTCCTACTCGCTACCCCGAGCTACTGCTGATACTCCAACTTTTCCCCTGACGAACGCGGAGTAACGCGGAGCGAGTCCCGACCCCCCGACGGAGGAGGGCAACTCATACGAAACAAAGTGTGTGTTTGTCCGTAATTGGGGCCAAGCTAGCACTTCCTTCAGTTCCGTGGGGGCTTCGCGCGAGCTTGGGGGCTTTGCAGGCACTTCGCAAAACGCACGGGCGAACGCGTAGCGAGTCCCGCCAGCCCGACGGAGGAGGGAAATTTCATGGTTTAGTGTGTACCCTTTCGATCCTGGCAGTTTTGTAAGGTGTCCCTTTCCGATCGCCTTCCGTTACGAGTGGGCCCCTACCCCCTCGTACCCGTTCGTCGACCCACGTTCGCGGGAGGTTCCATCGAAATGTCGTTATCCTCACGATGCCGATTTCAGGGTATGCAGTGGCCCATTCTTTCCGAAAGCGAGAGTAACGCGCCGGTTCTCCCTCAGCTTCAGGCAATGTCATAACGTACGCACGACGTCTACTGTATGGCATAGATTCATGATCCTCGGAGAATCCACAGTCATTTTTGAAACCAGCCGGAGAGCGAATTATTTGCTTCACCTCTTCAAGGGCAAGCGGACGTAGAGAGAATCTAGTGGGTAAAGACGTCGTCGGGATTTCCCAAGTCTTTACGTACTGGCGCACCGGCACTTGCATTTGGGTGTTTCAAAACTACTTGCCACCGGCCGCCTTCGGCGGCCATGCGCTCGCAAGAGTCTGCCGCAATCTGCCGCGGTCACGCTGAAATCTGTGAAAGCCTTGCGAAAGCGGTGGGTTGCGTTGCATCCGGTGCTTCCTTCTCCGGACTCGTGATTTTCTATGGACTCACACAGACCCTTTCTTGCGTACCCCTTCGGGGGGCCGGGGGGCAAGGTCCCCGTGAGGTTAACGAACGAACGAACGTGTTTGTGAATCTGTGTTTGTTCCACCGACCCGAACACAAAAAAAAACTTCCCGCTCATTCCGACACACGAAAAAGCTTCCTCCTGTTCATTCCGGGATCAGCGCTCCAAAATGCCAGCTCACCTCCTCACGCATCTGTCTGTATTCGTTTTGGGGTGAAGAACTGCGCGAAACGCTTTCAGTAGCTCGCACAGCTGTGCGCAGAAGATTGCGTGGTCCAAGCAGAAAAAAGAAAAGACCAGATCGTTGTGAGACCTGAAGATGGGGCGAATGTACGGGAAGAGCAAGGGCATCAGCAAGTCGGCGCTTCCGTATCGCCGTCGTGCACCGAGCTGGCAGAAGATGAAGCCAGAGGAGCTCACCGACCAAGTGTGCAAGCTCGCCAAGAAGGGCCAGACGCCGTCGCAAATCGGTGTTTTCTTGAGGGACAGCAAGGGCATCCCGCAGGTTAAGGCCATCAGCGGCAACAAGATCCTCCGAATCCTCAAGATGAACGGTAGGGGGAGCAGGGGGGAAGAAGGGAGGACGGGAGGCAAGCAGGGAGGGAGCGAGGCACGCTCCACTGAGTCCTTGTGTGGTGCGTCAGGTCTGGCTCCCGAGCTGCCCGAGGATCTGTACCACATGATCAAGAAGGCTGTGGCGATGCGCAAGCACATTGAGCGCAACAGGAGCGACAACGACAGCAAATTCCGCCTCATCCTCGTCGAGTCCCGCATCCACCGCCTGGCGAGGTACTACAAGCGCGTCAAGCAACTCCCGCCCAACTGGAAATAGTAAGGCACCAAGTGCATACACAAGACAGCGCCTGATGTGCACTGCTTCTGTGCAGCTCATCGTCAACTGCCTCTGCAATGGTGGCGTGAGCCATGGAGGGTGGATGCGTCGTGGCTCGGTGCGGCTGAAGCGGAGAATTTCCAAGCCTACAGGATGTGTGCGAGGACAGGGAATAATGAGGGGTATATGTGATGGACAGTGCATGAC